AATACTCTTGAAAGAAAGATGGAGGGGTCACTGACCTTTTTTGTGCAAGGAGCCTCCATTATTCCTGTGACTCCTTATTTCTTGAAAGCATTTTAGTGTCTAGATCTTCCATTGCAGCAGCACCAACAAGATATTGTTGATGCCAAGATCTCCATCTAAGAAATGCTAAATGAATTGGTGCTGAGTGAACCTCTTGATTTTACTCCTGAAAAAAGGAGGGGTCATTGACTTATTTGCACAAAGATCCTCCACTACTTGTACAACTCCTTGTTTCTCAAAAACATCTCAATGTCTAAACCTTCCACTACATTAGCACCAACAGGATGTTGTTGATGTCAAGGTTTCCACCTGGGAAATGGAGATCTCTATTTTAGAAAATGTTGGCAACACCAATAAGTGTGACTAACTTTATCATATGTCCAATAGTAGATATCATAGCTATAACCACGTCCTTGCTCTTGTCCTTAAGTTTGGGCAGCAGTAGCATCAACCTCCATTGGAATATGACCATCTTCCATAAGAAGTGGAGTTAAAGGACATGCAAGTATTAGCAGCAAGAGTAGGAAGAGCTGTATGTGAGACACAAAATCCCTAGGCCCCAAAGTGGAGCCGGAAGGGTGCCACGTGGTAGTGGCCGAAGCGAAAGCCAAATGAGCGTAACACGTTTGGACTAAAAGCTCCGACTTGATAGGTCGAGAGCAGGAGTGGAACTCCCAACAAAGTGCTTGAAGAATGAGCACGAAGCGAGCAATAAGCGAGGCTCTAAAAAGGGACCCAAAAGGGACTAACACATGACACGTGGAAGTGTCCAAGATAGAGTCCGAGATGAAGTCTGAGATGAAGTCCGAGAAGGACCCGAGATGGATCCGAGATGGAGTCCAAGATGGAGTCCAAGATGGACCCAAGATGGAGTCCGAGATGGAGTCTGAGATAGACCCAAGATGGAGTCCGAGATGGACCTGAGATGGAGTCTGAGATGGAGTCCGAGATGGAGTTTGAGATGGAGTCCGAGATGGACCCGAGATGGAGTCTGAGATGGACCAAGACAGAGTCCGAGATGGAGTCCGAGAAGGACCCGAGATGGAGTCCGAGGTCGAGACTGAGACTAGGATCGAGACCGGGACCGAGACTGAGATCGAGATTAGGACCGAGACTGGGACCGAGTTGTGAGACACAAAATCCCTAGGCCCCAAAGTGGAGCCGGAAGGGTGCCACGTGGTAGTGGCCGAAGCGAAAGCCAAACGAGTGTAACACGTTTGGGCCAAAAGCTCCGACTTGAAAGGTCGAGAGCGGGAGTGGAACTCCTAACGAAGTGCTCGAGGAATGAGCACAAAGCGAGCAATAAGCGAGGCTCCAAAAAGGGACCCCAAAAGGACCAACACATGACACGTGGAAGAGTCCGAGATGGACCCGAGATGGAGTCCGAGATGGAGTCCGAGATGGACCCGAGGTGGAGTCCGAGATGGACCCGAGATGGAGTCCAAGATGGAGTCCGAGATGGACCCGAGGTGGAGTCTGAGATGGACCCAAGATGGAGTCCAAGATGGAGTCCGAGATGGACCCGAGGTGGAGTCCGAGATGGACCCGAGATGGAGTTCGAGATGGACCTGAGATGGAGTCCGAGATGGAGTCCGAGATGGACCCGAGATGGAGTCCGAAGTCGAGACCGAGACCGGGACCGAGACCGGGACCGAGACCGAGACCAAGATCGGGACCGAGACCGAGACCAAGGCCGAGGCCGAGACCGAGCCAGAGCCCGAGTCCGAGTCCGAGTCCGAATCCGAGTCCGAGTCCGAGTCCGAGTCCGAGTCCGAGTCCGAGTTCGAGTCAGAGTCCGAGTCCGAGTCCGAGTCTGAGAGGGTGAAAGCCCAAAGCGTTCGTCTCCCAGACCCTGGGGGGTTTGGTGAGCTCCAAAAGTATAGTAGGGGGAGGACTGTAGTGGAGCCAGTTTGGCCAGGAAAGGCCAGTTTGGCCTAGGAAGGCCGGACCCAGTGTTGGGTGATGAGCTGCCCACTGTGAAGTCCAAGACTAGAGTGAACACAGACCGACAAGCGGGGTAGCTTGGTGAAGTGTTCAAGAGCCGGCTCTAGTTCCCCCGGGAGATAGACTGGCCGATGCTCCCAGTCCAAGTGTGGGTGGCACTACCTACTTGGATACCTGGTGTGGCTCAACGGAACCCCACTCTAAGCCCATGGCTAGAGCACCCAAGGGCAGAAGGCGAGGAGAGTACCCAAGTGGCTCACGTAAGGCCACGGTGTTCCGAAATGTGATCCCAAAGGCCCAGACTGTGGAAAGGAAGAGGAGCAGTCCTCTGGGTTAGTGACCAAGGACACAGTCGTGTGGTGAGGAAGTCCCAGAGGACCGTGGGACTTAGTGGTCGAACCTGTGGGTCTCGATCCAGTGGCAATGTTGGCAAACACGGCCAGGGGCAGAAAGGGACTTAGTGGGGACTGACAGAGGGATATTGGGGAAGGCTATTCCCCTTGTCGGTGGGCATCCTAAGGATGCTAAGGAGTGGATCTGAGATGACCACTCATGGATGGTTTGCCTAGTCTTGGAGAGCCAAGACTGTGATGCAAGTGGTATTGGACTACCAGTGTGGCAAAGGTGATTGGGCATGGCCTTAGCGTAACGGGCTGCTATGTCGGTGGTACCTTGGGGTGTCGGTCATTGGACCGGACACGTGGAGCACTTGGACCAAGTGCAAAGGTTGAGTGGCATGGATGCCATTCTCGGGGCTAGCAAGCCCCAAGTCCTGAGAGGGACTTATGGAGGTTGTGAATGAGACTCCTCCAAGTGGTCGGAGGTGCGGTTAAGTGACTAAAGTAAAATGGAAAATTTAGTCGCTTACACGAGTCCGAATCCGAGTCCAAGTCCGAGTCCGAGTTCGAGTCTGAGTCTGAGAGGGTGAAAGCCCAAAGCGTTCGTCTCCCAGACCCTGGGGGGTTTGGTGAGCTCCAAAAGTATAGTAAAGGGGAGGACTACAATGGAGCCAATTTGGCCAGGAAAGGCCAGTTTGGCCCAGGAAGGCTAGACCCAATGTTGGGTGATGAACTGACCACTGGGAAATCCAAGACTAGAGTGAATATGGACCGACAAGTGGGGTAGTTTGGTGAAATGTTCAAGAGCCGACTCTAGTTCCCCCGGGAGATCAACTGACTGATGCTCCCAGTCCAAGTGTGGGTGGCACTACCTACTTGGATACCAGGCGTGGCTCAACAGAACCTCGCTCTAAGCCCATGGCTAGAGCACCTAAAGGCGGAAGGTGGGGAGAGTACCCACGGGGCTCGCGTAGGCCCACGGTGTTCCGAAATGTTGTCCCGGAGTCCCAAATGGGGGAAAGGAGGAGGAACAGTCCTCTAGTGTAGTGACTAAGGATATAGTCACATGGTGAGGAAGTCCCAGAGGACCATGGGACTTAGTGGTCGGGCATGTGGGCCTTGATATAGTGGCAGTGTTGGCGAACATGGCCATAGACAGAAAAGGGACTTGGTAGGAACTAACAAAGGGATATTGAGGAAGGCTATTCCCCATGTCTGTGGGCATCCTAAGGATGCTAAAGAGTGGATCTGGGATGACCACTCATGGACGAATAGCCCAGTCTTGGAGAGACGGGATTGTGATGTAAGTGGTATTGGACCATTAGTGCGACAAAGGTGAATGGGTATGGCCTTAGCATTACAGGCCGATATGTCAATGGTACCTTTGGGTGTTGGTCTTAGGACTGGACACATGGAGCACTTGGACTAAGTGCAAGGGATGAGTGGTATGGATGCCATTCTCGGGGCTAGCAAGTCCTAAGTCCTGAATTGGATTTAAGGAGGTTGTGAATGAAACTCTTCCAAGTGGTTGAAGGTGTGGTTAAGTGACTAAAGTAAAATGGAAAAATTAGTCGCTTACACTATACTCTACACTGTGAATGTTGCTATCAATTGAGTTTCATTGTTCAACTACAACTACAAAGCATCAAATAATTGCATCAATTGTTGTTCTAGAGTCAAAAGAGGAAGAAGTTACTACTCTACCATGAAGGTGAATAAAAAGGAAAGAGTGAAAGATAAGAAGTTAAGAAAAACTATAAGAAAAGGAAGATTTAGACAATGCAAAAGGTAAATTTAAATTAAAATCTCATAAAGTAAGATTTGTTCTGATCTAGATCCTTCATTAGAATATGGCTAATCAAGCAAATAAACTTCTTAATATAGTCCTTAAGCATAATTTTCCCTTGTTAAAAATATTGAAGTTTTGTGTGAGCATTCTCCATGTCATAGTAAGGGAAAAAATGTAAGCAAAAAGCAACCTCAAACTCATCCATGGTAAACACTAGTGGTTTCTTATCTGCAATATAAAATTCCTTAAGCCAATTCCACCACCAAAAATCTACATTACATAAAACTATTGGAACAGCTAATAAAGTCTTTGCATCTGGAGTTCCTTAGAACAAAAAGTGTCACTGATAACATTTGATATATATAATGTGTAGAGAGAAGTGTTATTGATAACATTTTGATATATATAATGTGTAGAGAGTTTGTGAAATTATTAAGTTCACTATAACTTTAATATTTTAAAGTTTATAATGTTTGTCTTAAACTATAATTAAAACTTAAACTCAACTCATAAACTCAACTCTTCAACTTATGAACTCAAGGCTCACAAATACCCATTTAGCATGCTCAAGTCCTCATGTGCCAAAGTTCTCCTATGCAAAGCCCAGGCTGCCACAAATGTTGTACATCTCCACAAGGTTGTTGCATTGAAGCCTGTTCTTGAGGATGCTAATTGAACACAGTGAGATTAGCTTTCGCAAATCACGGAGCACAGGCATCACCCTGCAGACATGTAGGATAGAACGAGATAACAAGCCTTTTGCTTGGATTCAGGTATTAATCTTATTTAATCATGTCAATAGTATAGTTTGCTACAAGAGGTTTGGTGAAATGCCCCTTTCTTGATGGAGAAATTGTTTTGTTTTATTCTTACTTCCTATCCTCGAAATGGAGTATGGATCTCATAATTTTTTTTATTTCAGCTTATACACTTTTTTGCCTTTTGCAAGGTTTATGGGCACTTGTTGCTATATCCAGGGCCTCCAAAGAAGAAATATGCACCCCAGTCATCTCCCTTGTCAGCAGCAACACTAGTAGCAGTGTAGCATTTAGGTACTTCAGCTCCACTTTTCATCCCAATTGCTGGCTGCATTACTCCATTGGAATCCAGGTACTGTATTCTTCTCTGGTATGCAGCTTTAAGATATCCCTGGGATGGAAATTCTCCACTTCCCATACCAGTCTTTGTGTGTCTTACTCCACTTTCTTTATCATAACAGACTTCACCGCCAGCTTCCAATGTCTCAGCACCATTCTGTAGAGATTGAAAAAGGCTTGCAGGCCAGTATCCAATACTTTCCCCGTCAATTTGTAGCCACCAATTCTTTGAGCTATCGTCCTGAAAAATTCAAAACCATTTAATAGCTTTTATGCATGTTTTTTACGTAGTCTGGACTATGGACCTGGAAAACACGTAAGGTTTTCTCATATTGTGTAGAGTCTGGAGTGGATACGCTCGAAAATGATCCTCCTAGTACGTACTTGTTGCTTGTTTGTACAAAGCCTTGGCATCGCAGGTTATAACAGCCAGTTTTATCGTAGCCATCAGCCTGCCATTGACAATGCTTATACAATGTTTTATTACCAGTCTGGTTTACCGTCCAGTAGACAAAGAGTCGAGGTCCTGTTCCTCCATAGAATTTAGGATAAATCTTCAAGAAAGGTTCAGTAAATAAGAATATGACTGATTTCTAGAAGTGCGTACATACCTGCCATCCAGCTTCAATTGTGTTCAATGGGCCTAATTTTTTTGAGATGATCCATAACTGTGCCAGACTGAACTCGGAAGTTTTTTCCACGTATGGCTCCCAAACATTTATAGTTGTTTCCATCCCTCGGAAGTTGCCGTTCAACTGGTTGTAGCCATGCTGTCATGGTCATGCAAAGTATCATCAACTCTTGAGAGTTTTGATCAGATCCTGCTAGATTACTGTATTACCTCGTGAGTTTCTACGCCAGGTTCTTCATCAGCCAATGGCACTCGATTTTTTCCAGAGGAATGTTTTTTGGTTAGCTTCCTCACAGAATCAAATCTTGCGGCTATGGTATTCGAAGTGTGCAACACCGGTATTGTGTTTTCCTTGCACGATCCAACTTCTAAACCAAACAGCTGACCGGAATTTTCTGATCGATTGTGCTCTTGTTTGCTCATCATTTGAGGAGGCTAGACGAGAAATCATTAGTTTTCATCCATGTTGGACAGCTTACCAGAAGCTGCAGTGTCTGGTTTCTTAGAGACAGTTGATTTTTAATTGGGACGCAGAGGATGATGTCTCCATTTGATAACTGCAAATCGTGTTCACAAGGATCTGAAAACGAAAAAACAAACCGTATGATTTGTGACAAACGGAGGATTCACGTCTCGGAGAAAATCTCTCATCTCCTCATTGAGATCTGCTGCTGCGTGAGCAAGTAAGAAGCATACCATCAGCAGCAATGCTTCTGTTTCTGACATTCTTCGAAGTGGAAAAAGAAGAAAAGAATAATCAAGCAGATCGATGAAGCTCCCTTTTAAACGACAATATCCTCTTCATAACGTGTGGACATGGAAATATTCAAAGAAGAGAAACCTTATCGTCAATCCCTCACAGCATGGCTCTGCTTGCGACCGCAACAATCGACGTTAACTTCATTCGGCCAAAGTTGATAGAGACTGAAATGTTCCGTTTGATAGCTTGAATGTGAAGTAAATTAGTTGTGTCTCTGCGCAGGCACTTTGTCCAATTTAAAGATGTTGTGTATTGCCCACAGAATTGTCTGGTGTTTTTTGTATACTATTTCTAACAATGAGCATAGTAAATCGTTTATAGACTATGCACATATGGATTAACTTATGGCAGCAATCAAGGCTTAACGTCAGTGATCTCCAATTCAGTACTGCTAAGATCACATGATGAATGTCGAAAGCTGGTTGTGAAGATGGGCCATTCTGCCGCCTCTGAAAGCTGTTAGCCACTTGAAATAATAAAAATATGTTAAAGTTGTAGTAAATCATAGGTTTTCAATTGTCTTTCTTAGAGCTTGACAGTGTTGTTTTGATTGTCAGCTTGAGGCCTCGCTCGAAGCGTAGCATCGAGTTGACGCTTTCAACGATCAAAATTGTCTGCCGAGTTTCCTTTCGTTAGCCTAGCAAAGAAAGACCGCGTTTACCTGGACAAACGCATAGGCCAAAGCAGTCGCAAAATAGAAGTTGGCATTTCCTGTTCCCTGAAGAAAAGAAGGAAAAGAAGAAAGAGGCATGAAATGATTGATGAACAAAGAAAAGAAATAAATACCCTCCAAATCCATAGGTTGAACATCACGGGCCCAAGAGCTGCAACGCAAATGTAGGAATTGAGGAGAAGGAACGCGTACTTAAAATCTGAAGCAAAAATTTCATAAACCTCTGATCCAAATCCAAAGGAATACAACCAGAGAGCTCGTGAGTAAAAAGGCCCATCAGTCCCAAATACAACGCCGCGTCTCCAACCTGAGCAAAGCAATATAAGAACGCTTAAGTTGCAAGGAGACATCTTACCGATGGGTAAGACTTTAGAGTCGAGACAACCGCCATTAAAATAAAAGAAAGAAAAATCGGTCGGTGATAGAAGCATATAGACAGTGGTGCTATCATGCAAAATATGTTGCCATGAAACACCATGAGGAAGAATGACCGATAGAAGTCGAACACCTCGGTAAAAAAGTACCTGAAAGCAAAGGATTGAGGAAGCGAGGTAGTTGTAGTAAGAAAACAAAAGGACTACGTACCAATACACTCCAATGTTTGGAGTGAGATCTTTGACAGTTAAAATGAAGCCATACGTCCTGCAAAAGATGTAAAGCTTATTTCAAAGCGACCAAAGAGAACGAGCGAGAAGAAAAGAACGCTTACTCTCTTAGCATTTCTCCGAGACCTCCATCGTGACGAAGAATCCGGTTACACAATCCCAGTACGCAAGACGACCAGACGGCTGACCAGAGGATAAAGCTCCAGAGCTTTTGCCATTGAACGTTGGTCGAGGACTTCAGAGATTCTGAAGACTTTAGCCTGAATATTTTGGAGCGGGGCTTGTCTGGTCCGCAACACAACGCCGACGCGATCTTCAAAAAGAAAACGCAAAGAATGTGAGTTGCTAGATCGAAAGTGCGTGAAGTTACCGGAATTAACAGAACAAGAGGATACATTGCGAAGTGCGAAGCCATCACCCACGCAAAAGCAGCAAGCGGAGCATTTCCTGCATAGAAAAATATGGTTTCGAAAGAAAGAAAATAAATTCCAAAGTTTGATATGCCGCACCTTCTAACGAAGCGTAGAGAGCCAAGCATACAACGAAGCTTTCGAAAGACGACGTCGATCCTCCAACACAGACAAAGACTGTGAAGGGATTAAAAAGATAGAGTAGCGCGGCTATCTCTCCAATGTCAAGCGTTTCACCTGTAAGAAAAAGCATGGAATGTGTGATTCCAATGTTCCAATCTTACTTTTCTCTTGCCTTGGGAAGGTATTGGCAGCTCCAGAAGACGAGTGTAGTGATCGCGAGCAGCCGAGAGACGCTTTCCAATGAGAATTATCAACAGAGCCGTAGCGAAATCCGAAAGAAGAAAAAGAATGGGGCTGTCACAGCGAGACAACGTTGGCTTTTCCTTGAGAAAAATTTGAAATATCCTCTCACCTATTTGCGCCAAGCGGACCGATGATTTCCAGCAGCAATGGAGATCCATGATAAACAGATCCTGTAGCAAACTAGCAAGCTAGAGAAAAATGGAACAAGGAAGTGTTTTCTCACCGGCATAAGGAGACAATCCCAGCTTCTTGAGCCAAAATCCCTCCTCCACTGGAAATATCTATAAAAATGTAGCTCATCGGGATCAAGCAATCAGCCTTACATCGAACGAGACTAGTGACCGGAGTAGCGATTTCCACCGATCGACTAAGCCGCGCGGAAGCGCCTGACATCAGTAAAAGCAGCCTCGCGATCGCGGCGAGCGTCATTCCGCCCCATAGCGCCAACGATCTCCTCCCCTGCAAAACCATGGCACAGCATTTTAGGGTTCTAGGATCTCGACGTTTGGTTTAGCGGAAATCCAACGGTCAGATGTGGAGCTATATTTGGTTAGGGTTTAAGGAAGGCTAGGGTTCTAGGGAAATGTGCGGTGTGGCGGTCTGGTACGCAGAGATCGGCTGAATCACAGCACTCCCAGGTATGCGCCAGAAGCAGCGCTGGTGGAAATCCATGGCCTAGTGTAGAGAAAATCGATGGATTCGAGCGCAGTCGACGGCATTGCTACAATTTCCAGTGAAGAAAGCTTCCCAGCGGTTGGAAGAGAGGCAATAGCAGAAGGGATGGAGCTAAAGGTCCGAAATATAGAAGAGGGGCAGCAGCAGGGGGATTCTACTCCCGCTGATGCCCCAAATTCTTTAAGAGGTACTGGGGAAGAAAGTGTAGATCTCCAGAAAGAAATAGGTAGCGGGGAGCTGGAGGAAATAGTAGCGGCTGCGAAAGAAGAAACTCTCGGCAAAGAAGAGGAGATTGAGAAAGAAAAAGCTGGGCTCAAACGAAAGAAGCTAGACGAAGATGATATCGCTGCCTTTGTTCCTGATGGAGTACAAGCTTCGCAAGGAGCTTCCCAGGATACAAGGGAAACTAGAGACGCCAAGAAGCCAGCGCGCTACAAGAAGAGGAAGATCGCCATCTTCGTTTCTTACAGCGGCTATGGCTACCAGGGGATGCAGCGCAACAAAGGCTGCAAGACCATCGAGGGCGATCTCGAGGAAGCGCTGTTCAAGGCGGGTGCCATCGCGGAGTCAACTTTCGGGGACCCCAGGAAGATCGACTGGGCGAGAGCTGCGAGGACGGACAAGGGAGTCAGTGCCGCAGGCCAAGTGGTGTCCGGGAGGTTCTTCGTGGATCCGCCTGGCTTTGTGGAGCGTGTCAACTCCCATCTCCCAAAGCAGATCCGGGTGCTGGGATTCACGAGGGTGACAGGAACGTTTAGTGCCAAGAATCTCTGCGACAGGCGGAGGTACGAGTATGTTCTTCCGGTTTTCGCCTTGGATCCGGCCTCCCACCGAGTCGAGAGCCCGACCATCGAAGCAGCCAATCCGGGAGACAATCCGGGAGAAGCTATCACCAGCGAGGATGTAGAGGAAGACACCACTTCCACCACCGGCACTACCACCGGCAGATTCACTCCGACTTGCACCTGCACAAGCAGTGATCTCGAGACCGGATTCACTTTCGGTGACGAGGAGCGAGCCAAGCTCACGAAGATCCTCCAAAACTACGTTGGGACTCGCTACTTTCACAACTTTACGTGCCGTGTCAAGCCGGAGGATCCAAGCACGCAGCGGTATATCACCTCGTACGAGGCCGGCGAAGTTTTCACGATCCAAGGCTGCAAGTTTGTCCGGTGCACAGTGATCGGCCAGAGCTTCATGCTTCACCAGATCCGCAAGATGATCGGCCTGGCCGTGGCGGTGATGCGAGGTGATGCTCCGGAGACCATCTTCGAGAGAGCCTTTCGGAGGTAAGATTTGGTTCTTCGTTCTTTGTTGTCTCTTAAGTTTCGGAAACTTTCAGGGACACGAAGATCGGAGTTCCAATGGCACCGGAGCTCGGCCTCTTCCTCGACGAGTGCTTGTACACTGCGTATAACCAGAGATTCGCGGGAAGCCACGAAGAGGTCTCGCTAAAGTCGTTCGAGAAGGAAATTGCCGAGTTTAAGACCGAGGTGATCTATCCCCACATTGCTTCCACCGAAGCCAAGGACGGGGTCTTTGCTCGGTGGCTTCACGGCTTGACGAAAGAGAGGTACCCGGATTTTGCAGCGCAGGCTCCTCCTAGTTGAGACACAAAACTTTCCCAAAGAAAAAATCTCCATTCGATGGCAGTCGTTTTTGCAGTAAGAAATAGAAGCTTACGTTCCCCTTCTACAGCTAGCCAGGCGGCCATTTCATCTGGCGTCCTCCAACGAGATGGATATGAAGATGATAGACCGATTGGCCTGTGAAAACAAAGGTAAGAGAGCTATGGAAGAAGAAGAAATGGAAATTCTCTCGCCAGGCTTACATCCTTGAGGTCCATCGTTGATGACAATCCTGTAGCCATCGTCCAGTTTCTCTTTCTTGGCAACCACGGTCGAAGCATAGAGTAGTTCTCCCAGGATTTCTTTGTGTCTTTCCTCTGCCTGTGGCAAATGGAGGATTAGTCTTAAGTGCCATAGAACATAGAAAAAAGTGGAGCTTTACCTTGGAAAGCTGTGTCAATCCATCTCTGTGCTTGGGAATGATAAGAATGTGTGTCGGCGCCTGTGGATTTAGGTCTCTAAACGCTAAAACCTGGAAATTCCACATCGCAGCAGTGAGATCAAGAGAAGAGAGCCTAGAATAACAATGCCGGACCTTGTCATCCTCGTAAACGATCTTGGAAGGAATCACCTTGGCGATGATCTTGTCAAATCTGCCAGGAAACACAGCGATCACTGCAAGAGAAGACGAGATTTTCGACTCACATCGTTGGCGATCCGGAATCCTTGAACAGGGACGCGGCCTGCGCGGCGACCTCCTCGCCTGGCGGAGATTGTTGCACGGCGCCGCCCGACATTGCCCCGACCTGGCGCGCTAGAACACGAACCCTATTCGTCGAGCTCATCGGGAAAACCCAACGGCTGGGATGCAAAGTTGAGACCAATGGCTGAGATTGCTCCAACGGTTCTACCGCCCAGATTAAACTCTTTCTTTTGACCTTTGGTAAGTTCCAGTGTCCGTACTCTGGGGCGCGTACGTAATGAGATTTTTAAGAGATCGTGTTCTTTGTTTTGGCCTAGGGAAAGCTCCTTTGGGCGATGGCGCTTTCTTCTTTTGTTCTTCGCGACTAGTGTCTCTTTTAGATCTTCTTTCTCTCTTTGCCGATTCAAGCGTTGCTGATTCGAGCTTCTAGCGCAATCTTGTGTCGGCATTGCTCGCCGCCGCGCAGCGCCTTAAGTTTTGCAGCACTGCAGCGGCATCGACGCGAAGATTTCGAATCGATCGTCGTCTTCTTTTCGCGAAGAAGAGGTTCGATCTGATCAGACGCCGCCATAATCTTGTTTCTTGCTGCTGCATTCTCGATATTTTGATCGATCCAGGCATTTCCCGATAGAAAATCTCCAGAAGAAGGCCATGGCGAGCTGCATACTGCCTGCATTCTCCACCATAGTGCCGGAGTTTTCCACCGCTCGCTATGACGCCGACGCGCGGATCCGAGACTGGGGGATGTATCCCGAGCGCTTTGGCGTGGTCGAATCGCTCTCAGCGGCGCCGCAGCAGCAGCACGACAGCGCCATGGAGATGAGCGGCCTTGTCTCAAGATCCAGCCATTGCAAAATTGAGCCGGACTGCCTGATTCGTGCTCCATCGGATTTCTCCCAGTTCCCAAGCAAGGCCGTGGGCGACTCCTCCAGCTTGGACTATCATCTCCACAAAGGCGTCAAGCGTCCTCTCGAAGTGGTGGACATTGCGGCCAGCTCCAAGAACACGGCGAAAGAAAAGAGGCTCGATAGCGATTGCGGCAGCCTCCACTCCGTCCAGGACACCACAACCGGTGGCGCCGCCTCGCCGCTGTGCAGCAGCCCTTCCAAGATGGGCGAGCCCGACCACGAAGTCCACATCTGGACGGAGCGAGAGAGGCGCAAGAAGATGAGAAGCATGTTCGTGACTCTACACTCGATGCTACCCAAGGTTCCATCCAAGGTACGCGCTTTTCTTCTCCTCTGATAGAAAGATTAGCCGAGGATCACTGCTGACGATCATCGCTGACTGTGGCTTTTTCCATTGCTGGAACAGGCCGACAAATCCACCATTGTGGACGAGGCCATCAACTATATCAAGTCGCTGGAGCAGAAGATGCAAAGACTTCTCAAGAAAAAGTCCGAGAAGGTGAAGAGCGCCGTGCAGCAATCCGAGGCTAGCGGTGACGGAGACAAGGCGAAGAACAAGATGGTCTCCGACTCGGAGATACTCGTCACTCAGAGAGGCAGCAACTCGAGCTTCCGGACCTTGTCATCTTCCAACGTGGTTTTCAATCTGTGCGGTGCCGACGCCTTCATCACAATCTGCGCGAGCGCGAGGCCGAATTTGCTGTCGAGGATATTCAGCTGCGTGATCCAGATGCTCAGAATGGACGTGAGGAATGTGCAGATAACCGATACGAGTGACAACCGACGATTGCTCATCATACATGCTTGCGTAAGTGACCCATCCCATATGTTTTTTCAGTTTTTTTAACACTTTTCTTAAGCCGCCTTTTGGAACTCTGTCTTGCAGGCGACAGATGTAACTCGTACTTCTGAGGGGGATCTTAGAAACGTTATGCAGGAGCTGATAGGATGCATCTTATAAGTCCCCGGGCCGAGAAGAGTTTTTATATCGGTGGGGTCCGAGTTGAGTTTCGAGAGTGCGCCAACACGAACTAGCCTCATGAGGGATGGAATTTTTCGTTGGTATGTTTTGATTTTAAACGCCTCGTTACTGAGCTGTTCCGGAATTTCGTGCTGTGCTGTTGTTGTAGGGAGAGTGGTGGTGGTGTCTTTAAGCTGTAGAGAGAAAAAATCTGTGGTGCAAAGAAGGGAAGAGCTTTCGAAAGTGTTGTTTGTAGGAGGTATTGGGGAGGCTCCAGAAAGCTCAGTGTAAGTGTCGTCTACAAATTTACAGCTCTTTGTATGGCAAATGGGAATTGTTGTCGCGTTCTATACAGGCTTGACTTGGGGCAGCGTGGTGGCGGTCCGTGTTGTAAGTTGTGGGTGATCTGGTTGGATTGAGATTGCCATTGAAATTTGTCTTGAATGTCTACTTGTGCATTTGTTTCAAGCCTGGGATGGTAGTGTTGTAATGATGGGCGACACCAAAAGATTGACGAAGTTTGTCCTCTGGCCGCAGGCGAAGCAGGATATAAGAATTGAGGACGAGCCAGGTGAGGACGGCTGGCCTTTGCTTTGGACGGTTTCTTGTTCGTCCGGGTTTTCTTCGATCTTTTTTCTGTGATAAGTGTGTGCTTTTCTTCGTTGTTTTGCTTTAGATTACATTATCATTGGGCCACACCTGAACTGGCCCCGTCGGAGCTCCTCAAATCCCTGTCGTGCTTTGCAGATTTGCAGACTTCTTCCCTTTGCTCCGCCGCAAGGAACAAACGGCTTGTTGCTTTGTTGAGATCACTTTCCCTGCTGTCGAGGTCAGTAATTTTCTGGATTTGATTACTGCAAGTGCTCGTTTGATCTGATTTTCTTTCCTGCCTTGTATCTATCTACATAGATGGTGGTGACGAGTGGACGAAAGAGCCGCTGTTTCAACAGGACGAATGCAGTGTACTCTTACTCCCTCTGCTGCTATCGCTGCGGCAGTGCAAGGTAGGATGGGAAAGGTCAGTTCCTCTCATTCATCAATCTATTTCCATTTTCTTCCACTGCACTGGCATCGCTGCTTGGCTTGGCTTGGAGTTTTCCATCCACTACATGCTGTTCCTGCTCATCCTCTTTTTCACTCTGCTTTTCCTTTGCCTTGTCAATGCAGACAAGAAGTAGAGCATTTATGAGAGGGGCCTAGTTTCGAATATCGAGAGTGAGGTTTCGAGCGAGCGAGAGCAGCAAAGATGCGATGCCTCGTCTAGAACTTAGCTCTGTGCACTCATTGCGTAGACTATTACGTTGCTTTGCTCTATCTCTTACTTGCTTGTGCTTGCCTGGGAAACCTTCCTCACTACTATACGGTTATTCTACATATACTAACGCCCGTAGCGTTTTCGATGTTTGTAGCACCGTTAAGACAAACACGGCAAGAGGGAAACGAGTGGGAGACAAGACAAGCAACGGAACTGGCTGGACAGAGCTGTTCTTGGGAGTCTGGAGCCTCGCCCATCATCAGGCTCGCCCATCATCAGGTAATCGATTCTTTGGCTAGACAACTTTTTAGCTACACAAATCTCTAACGAAACTTCACAGATTATCGCTATAGTCTCGATTGACAAAAACTTCACAGTTCATTGAATCTTTGGTGGTGGTTTGCGAAGTACTCTACGATGATTCTCTCTACGAGAATGCCAAGAACATCACAAGCAAGCGTAGCTAAGAAATGATTTGTTGCTCACGACGCTGCATAATAGATATCATTGAAAGCCAGACCTTACTTCCGTTCGGGCATGTCGTACCGTCCAGGTGACACCTCCCCACCGCCTACTGGAAGGTGGAAACCTGCGCAGGTGTTTCCGGGTCAGGAGTAATCCAGGGAGGTGACATTGGCTTGTTTGAATACGCCACTCCTCCGTAGCAATGTACGTCCTGCTGTGACACCCGAGATGACCTCACAATACAAAAGATTAGATTGGTAAGAAAATATTTTAAAAATCAACCATGGTTGACTTTGTGATGTGACGGCCGCCGCCGGTGCTGGCTGGAACGAGTCGGCGATGGCTGAGATCGACGGCTCTCGCGCCCACGTGTCTGGGCCCCGGACGGTTGAGATTTGCATTCAAGGGAAGTAGTAAATGAAGCCAGGAGTAAAAAATTGTAGTGAAAAAAGCAAATATCGATGGAAAGTTAAAAGCCTGGCTTGCCGTGGATTTGGACACGATACGCTCATTACATCGAGGGAGAAAACCTTTTCTTTTTTTTTTAATCCCATTCCATATGCTCGAGCTGACACGTCAATCATTGACGGGCTTGACAAACATGGGATAAGTTTTGGGCCACCTCTGACGGGCGGCGGCGGTTTCCTCTGACGGCCGGGATCTCGTTCGGATTCGGATCTCCAAGTCACGGCCGTCGCTGACGAGCGAGCCGCCCGTCACGTGCCGCCCCTCCAATCATCAGCATTGTACTCCCATTGCGTAACGTCCCAACTGATGGGCCACTACTTCATTTGGGACCACCACTCTTCCGTACCAAAGCGTAGTTCATGGAATTTTATGAGCCAGCGCTTTAGAAGTGGAAGAAAGTTCCAATCGCCATCGCCTTTAGCTTGGAGAAGACTTGTTCTTGCGAGAGTAATAGTTTCTCCAGCCTTCTTTCTCCAATTTCTCCGCTTTTTCAAGCACTGCCGCCTCCATTTCTTGCTGGTAAGTTATCATCCTGTCAAAACGCCACCACCACTACGTTACAGCCAAGCTTTAGAGATTATTGCCCGATACCTTTGCAAGAGCTTTGGGTTCGTCAATGCCAGCATCCTCACGGCCAAAAGTCCTCCATTCGTCGCATTGTCCACTGCGACTGTGGCCACTGGGACGCCTTTTGGCATCTGTGCATTAAGAGCTATGGTTTGGTGCCAGCAAAGAAAAGGCGAAGAGGAAGTTAACATACTTGGACTATGGAGAGTAGCGCGTCAAGGCCATCGAAGGAGGTGACATTGATAGGAACACCGATGACGGGGAGAGGAGTAGCGCTCGCGATCATGCCTGGGATTTAGATTAACAAGACGTCTTTCGTCGTTCACAACTTAGAGGCCTACCAGGTAAGTGTGCGGCGCCGCCTGCTCCAGCAATTATCACTTTGATGCCCCTTTCATGTGCGGTCCTTGAAAAGGCGTTCATTCTCTCCGTGGTTCTGTGAGCGGACACAATTGTCATCTGTAAGCACGCGAATAAAAAAAACATCGTATAAACGAAACTAAAGCGGCCAAACCTCATAAGCAACACCAAAGGAGTCAAGAACATCAGCTGCATCTTTCATGACACGCAAGTCTGAATCAGACCCCATGTATATGCCAACTAATGGACCTGGAAACGAGAAAGTCAAATCATGCAGAGCGAAAGACTACATACACGAACCTGGTTCGCTCTCACTTGAATTGGAGCTGACAGTGGAACTAATGATTTGATTCATGCGCGCCCTGACAAGAGCTGCAGAGTCTCCAGCAACAGTGATATGGCCCATTTTCCGCTGCCTCCTTATCTCTGAAAAATAAATCCAAGAGTATATAGCTTCAACAGCTTAAACTACTTGGCAACAAACCAGCTTTGTTGTACCAATGAATGCTTGCACCAGGGACGTTTAGCGCTCTTCTCAAGGTTTGATAAGCTTGGTTGAATCCAGCGTCACCCTACATTCCAACCAGTGACGGGAAAGGATAAGAGTGTTCCACGATACCTCAGCCTCTCCGAGAAGATTATACATCATTGCTGCTGGAACCTTCATCGCTGTATCACCAAGTGGAAAGCCCAACACGGCCCGAAGATGCTGTTCAAACTGTGAAACGTAGCAAGCTTCAATAGTATAGTGACCGCTGTTGTGTGGTCGCGGAGCAACCTCGTTGAGAAGAACCTGGAAAGGTGCGCGGAGATAATCACATGACGGAAAATGAGAGTTCTATCGGACCTGGCCGTCCGCTAGAAGAAACAGCTCCACACCATAAATTCCTGCGCCTTCCAGCGAACCGATCGTCTTCCGTGCAATATCTAGAGCCCGTTGTGCTACAGCGTTGGACACCTGAGCAGGTGCTTCGACAACATGGCAAATGTTGTCCCTGTAATGGAGTGTCACCTCGTTGTACAATGCAACAGTCCAACGAGGAAAGATACCCACTTTTGCGAGGTCTCGACGACGGGATAGCAACGCAATTCACCACTTCTGCTTCGTGCAACCATCACGGCCAGTTCCTGCTTATCAATCCAAAGATAAGAAGATATAAAGATATGACAAGAATTAAAAACACATTATCGAACCTTTACAAACGGAGCCCAACGTTCTGCATAAAGGCCGTGCTCAAATCCACCCAGCGCTGCAATTCAAAAGCGAACGTCAAAACACTGGAAAAAGTTTCCTCGCGACTAGTTAGTTACACGCAACAGCTGATTCAAAGTCATCTCTAGATCGGACTACGGCATTTCCACGACCATCGTACGCAAGGCGACGGCTTTTCACCATCAAAGGATAACCAAACAGGCTAGAGGCTTCCTCAACGCTTTCAATGCTCTTAAGCTGCGAAAAGACTAGATGCGTTACGCCAATTGTTAACAGGCTGCGCAGTTTGCTCACCTCAAGGAAATCTGGAAGAGGAATTCCATGCTTTTGGAAGTGAACTTTTTGCAAATACTTGTCCTGGAAAAGAACAGGCATGATCAAGATCAACTCTAACGAATAAAAAAAGAAAACGACCAAACAGACCTGGATTATCCTGATCGTTTGTGGACTCGGCTCCACATCAATGCCTTCAGTGGCAAGAGCATCTATAGTGTCGACATCGACGTGCTCAATCTCCACAGTGAGAACTCCACAGCTTCATCAAGAAACACGTTCCAGCACACGGAGAAAACTTTCGCAATGTACCTCTTTGCAAATTCTCTAACAGCATCCCTGTCTCGAAAACTCCCGACGTGATGCTTGTGTGCCAGACGGCTCGCAGGGCAATCCTCAGCCGGATCAAGAACCGCTACCTTCAACCCCATCGTCGACGCAGCCTGACAAAGCATCCGCCCGAGCTGCCCGCCTCCCAGAATCCCCACAACGGTCTCCCAATGCGCCAGATCCCCGTCCTGGCTGCGCATTCTCGGATCAGTCACACAAAATCTCCCCGGCATTGCGAGGAAAACCTTACCCTCGCTCCATCGCCGCCCTGACGCGCACGGCCTGCGCTCTGATCCCCGGCGACGAGCGCAATCGGCTGGATCGGCAGCAAATATCCGCAAAGGAGCACGACGATGGCGGCAAAACGAGCGCAAGAGCTCCAAAAGCCATGGACTAGAGAAAGAGCTCTAGGGTTCTAGAGGGGTTTTATGCAACGGGAGATTCCCTGGCCAGCGTGGCCATGTTGTAGCCGTTGGATCATAACTTTACCCTTCTAAGGTCGAAGAACCCTAATTTCAGTCAAGGATTTCGAATGTACGTCACATTTAATCGATCATCATCTAAATCGAAGCTAATCCAAAAGGACGCTTCGATGAGATCGATCAGGTTTCCAAATTCTAGGAATTCATCGGAAGCAGCGCTGCAAATCCATTTTCTTGCAAGACACACTAGGGCTCTGGGGGGGTTTTATGGCGCGGGGCATATTCCAGTGCCCGCGTGGCGAAATATCAACCGTTGATGAGGAAGGGGATTTAGGGCTCGCTGTGCTGTGTGTTTTTCTTTGTACCTATATTGCAACGGCAAGCAAGCATCGCGATTCAGCGGAGGTGAATCGCGAGGCGAATCCCTTCCTCCTCCTGGCCCGCGATCCAGCAGCGGTAGGGTTTGTGGCGCCGAATTCGCGAGAGCGCCGGTGGGAATCCGAGGGAGAGAGGAATTGGAGTGCGGATTTTCTGGCTCTCTGGCGATTCGTGTCCCCGTTTTCGTAGAGGTGTGTGGGAAGGTCTTTGTTGTTCTTGATTTTGGGCCTGGCCTTTTCCGGGGATGAGGGAAGGAGAAGGATTGGGGTAAAAGGCTGTGTGGCTTCCTCAATAGATGGCACAATGGCGCCTTAGGTTTGGCAGCAGCCGATCATGGGTTTGCTCAAGATGGACAGAAGTGGAAGCGAACCATCGCTGGTGCCAGAATGGTTGAAGAACAACAACAACAATGGTATAAGTATAGTTTTTTTTTGTTTCTTTCATTTTGGTCTTTCGAGTTCTTCCAAGGTGACGCGTTTCTTTTCTTTGTTCTTCCAGGTGGTGTTGGAATAGCATCACGACACTCCTCGTTTGTGAATCGCCCCCAGCATTCTTTGAATGGAATCTCGGACAGGGACTCGAGATTCTATCCGAATTTTAGCCGCGGGAGGTTTCCCGAGCGCGAGCGTGATCGCGAGGCCTGGAACCGGGACTGGCGAAGCCATGACAGGCAAGTAGGAGGAGATAGAGGGCCGTCGGGGTTTCACAGGGTGCCAGTGGCTAGGCTCGATGTGGAGAATGGGTGGTGCGGTTTCAAGAGCTCCGAGAGGCTCCGGATGGCGAGCAGCAATCGTTTTGTGTCGTCGAGGAACTCGAGTGACACGGACTACATTGACAGCTCCATGGCTCCCAAGACCCCGGAAGCGATTTGCTCCAAGATGCCGGAAGTTTTCAGCCCAAAAATCCCCGAGGCTCCATCGCCAGCCTTCAAGATGTCTGAAGCGCTCGTCCATGTAGCGTCGTCTCCGATTCAGGTAATGTTCCATCTCCCTCTAGCAGTGTTTAACTTGTTCACCATCCTCACTTGTTCTTCCTTCTTTGATTTATTCCAGACGGCTATGGAGCAGCAGACACAGCGGCTGGAGGAGATTGCCTTGAAGCAATCAAGGCAGCTCGTCCCAATGAAACCATCTCTTCCGAAAACAATGGTACGTGGCTGAGCTCCTTTTCTTCTTTGTCCAAGTTGAGCGAGCTTAACTCTTCTTTTTTCTTTTGCAGGTGCTTCCTCGTAAGCCGATGAAATCCTCTGATTTGAAGTCCGGCCAGCCAGCGAGTCCAGTTACTCCATACCGGACACCAACGCCAGCTTTGAGCGTCTTGAAAGCAACTCCAGGAAGGCTCCAGGTGCTGAGCAAAGAGTCCACGGCGCCTGTTGCAAGCCGAGCTCCCCAGGCTCCCATGGTGGATCGCAAGCCAGCCAGTGACGGTAAAGTTGGCGACGTCCACGTCCACGAGGACCGGAAGCCTCTTGCGCACGGCCAGAACCGGAGTAACTTTTACAACGCGATCCGGAAGAAGGCAGCGACAAATGGCGAGAACAGGAATCCGCAGGAGAGCACGGCGATGGACACTCCACAGAAGAAGGCCTGCGAGGAGAGCTCCACTGTTGTGTCGGAGCTGATTCGCACGGAAGAGAGTGGAGACGCTGGTGCTGTCAAGGAACTCAAGCCAGCCGAGGCGAAGAATGGCCGGTGGTGCGAGAAGGAGGAGACTGCTCTGTTGAGGTCGCTCGGATGGGAAGACAAACCGGACGGCGAGCCATTGACGGAAGAAGAGATCTATTCTTTCGTCCGAGAGGTAAGCGACTGTAAACAACTTGGAAGCTTGCTTACCGAGATGTTTGTTTTGCAGCATATGACGGCTTTGGCATCGACCCCGTCGGTGGTGAACGGAAAGAACCAAGTAGTGTGCAATGTGCTCTTGGATCTGAGCGCTGGCAGCCTTGCAAGCCCATCATCCTCGGGCTCGGAGTCGGAGGATTGCGAGTTGGAGCTGGGCAAGGTGAAATAAGTCGACAAGACGACGATGGCGACGAAGAACAGCAACGAGAGGAGGAGGACGGCGGGCTTGTAAATGAGTACATAAGGTTGTTCCTTGTTTTGGGAAGATCCGAACGGTTTTTAGAGGGGGAGAAAATTTTTGGTTTGAAGAAATCCAGGCTGACCAAATGAAGTTTGTTTTGCTGGCAAATGTAGGAAGTTGGTCAGTGAGAAATACGAACGAAAAAAACGAAACGAATTCGATTTACTATACCTCTCCAGACTTTTGAGTTCCTCGTGCGAAGTTTGATGATTCGAGCTATTCCTCTGTGACTCTGACGAGCTCCACATCGAAAACAAGCGTTCCAAGCGTGGAGCTTTCTCCGTTTGCTACTCTTGTGGGATTAAAGATGGTGGTGAAGAGCCTTTGCCTGTCGAAGATCTGTGCGTGAAGAAAGAGCTCTTCAAAGGTGTTTGTGGTAGAAGATGAGTAGAGCTTACATTTGGAGGTAGAGGGTCTTGTGTGGTGCTTTGATAGCCTTGCGATGGTGGAATGATGAGACGACGAATTCCCCCAGGCTTCATTGTTCTCACTGCTGAATCCAAGCCCGCTATCACCTACATAAGAGAAATAGTAGTTCTTTCCTTCTTAATAGAAAGACAAGAAAAAAAAAATTCCTTCCTCTTACATTGTTTGAGCCGATCGTGAAAACAAATGGCTTTGGATTCCCATCCTCGTCTTTGTGATCGTACGTTGAATCGAATCGCCAGCCCTGCTTCGCTGCGAGCCTTCCATAGTAGTGGATTGCAACCTGGGCAGCGAAGATAGAAAGAAATCAAGGAGGAAACAAGGAAGAATTACCTTATCTCCAGGATTGGGATATTTTCCAGCGCCAAGCCTGATATCCAGAGCCTTGACGCCACCAGATCCCTGGATCTCGTAGAACTGCGAAGATTTTGAAGCCGGTGGAGGAGATTTCGGCTGCTCGATCGCTACGGCATTCTGCGCAGACAATCCGAGGGAAACTCCCAGGGCAATCAAATGCCGCCTTCCAAGATCGAGGGAAGCCGGAGGAGCACAACAGGTAGAAGCCCTAGGTTTGGCGCCATTCTTCCAACGAAGAAGCCACAACCTCCAATCGCAAAGACTCATCCCTATAGCCGTTTGAATGATAAATAATTTAGGGTTCTTCGCGTTTGGCGATGGAAGAGCAGCAAATCCAAGCGGCAGCGTCCGAGGCGACGGAGCAGATCCAATCCATTCTCGATCCGAGCAGCATCGACGAGCTCAAGCGCCTCCAGCTTCTCATGTGAGTGATCATCATCGATCGAAGAAAAAGAAGTGGTGGTTTTGAATCGCTCGCGTCACAGATTGGGCAGGCTAGGCGATAGCAACGCGGTTCTTTCGCACTACAACGAATTCTCCGAGCGTAGCTTCGCCGCGGTAGCTCCAGATTTCGCCAAGAACACGAAGCTCCTCAAATCCATGAAAGCCGATCTAGACCACATTTTCAAGCACATCAGGTAAGCACAAATTTTTCACTCTTTTCAAAGAAAACTTTGCTGTTAGGATCATAAAAAATCGGATCCAGAGCCAGTTTCCTGACGCTTTCTCGGATCACCACTGAGAAATCTGTATGTACAGAGAATAATTTACCGAAGAGTTTGTAGCAGCTATCAAAATCGCCTCCTCTTTCCATTGTTGTTACTTACGAGTGCTTGTCAGATGAGCTTGCAGCAACTTGGGAAGACCACCGAAACCATTGAACGACTTGCAATCCAGCAGCTTCTCGAGCTTTTCATCGCACAAGATCTTCCTCCTGTCCGAAGGATCCTGATCAAAAGAATGGTTCCTTCTCATCGAGAAGAGATCCGAATTTTTCAAACTTACTTGGAGCTGATTGCTTTTGATGTAATCCCACAGCTGCTTCGTCACTTCCGGCCTCGAGAGTTGGCTCTCCTCCGTTCCCAAGAATTCTCTAAGCTTTGGAGAGATCTTCATGGGAACTGTGAATCCAGACACTTTGGGGCTCTTGCCAGCAGCTTTCCTGGCTTTTTTGGCCTCTTCCTTTTTCTCAGCTCGCTCTTCTGCCTTTCGCTTCCGAGCAAGTCTGTTAGCAGCTCTGGTTTCCCGATCTACAGCCCTCTCGGCTAATCCTTCTTTACCATCTTCATCTTCTTCTTCGTCTTTGATCTTCCTCTCTGCAAGGTAATCCAGTCAGTAGAAACGATGAAGCACAACTCCAAAACCCCTTACTCGCGGCTCCAGCTTCGTACACCAGCTCTGCCAAGTTCTCATCAGCGAGAGGATTTTTGGAAAGCAAAGCTCACCGTCGAGAGGGATGACATGCTTGGTGAGCTTCTGGTTCATGGAGAACATGTCAATGTAGTCGGAATTAAAAACCTTTTTGAGCGCTTCATCGCATTTGATCTTCCTCTTGTCCTCGGGCACCTGGAGATTGTGCTCGCGGATGTAAGCCCAGAGAGATTTCACAACCTGGAAGCCAAGAAAATAGAAACATCGTCAATCCAGAGTGAAGATATCACAAACCTGTGACCTTGGAGCTTGTGGAATGCCGACGATAGCTTCCAGCACATCTGACAATTGGCAAGGCTTTTGGAGTCCAGTCAGTCCTTTCTTCTTTGTTTTCTTGGATGGAGCACTGATGAGAAAGAAGGGGAATTTCTCAAGCCATGTTTTATCAACGTATGAGGAAGAAAAAATTTACCTCTCTCGAATTGCGGAGTGGAGCTTGTCCCGGAGCCTGGAATCTCCATCTCCATCGCCACTGGCTTCGGCATCGGCAGCCTCCTCCGCTTCGCCTTCGCCGGAATCCTCCGCCTCGGCCATGAAACTCTCAATCTGCTCGCGAAGAAACGCCTTCTTCGACCTCAAGCTCACGCCCATCTCCTCCTCCATTTGCTTGCGAATGTCTTTGGAAGAAACCTCGCTGAGATTGGCGCTGGCGAGAATCTCCCTGACGCGCTTGGCGATCGCTGCGTCGGGCGGCATCGCGGCGCGGCCATCCTCGTCCTTGCGCATTCTAATGGATTCTAAACCTAAACTTTCTAACTGGGACTAGGGCAAATTAATGCGCTAAGTTTCTCGAGTTCGATCCCCCGCTCACACGCTGGTAATTCAAATTTTTTACCCCTTTCTCTCTCTCTCTCTCTCTCTCTCGGTTTTAGGTTCTTTCATTCCTTCCACCAAGCGCTTCTTCGATTCTTCGATCCATCACCGATATTTCGTCCAGGCATCGATCGATCGGGGTTTCGGGAGCTCCATTCCAGCATTTCCTCACAGATCGCCGCTCGCTAGGCTAATGAGCTTGTGAGGGTGTGATCCATCGGTTCCAGTGCAGGATGAACGGATTCATAGGCAGCGATGGGGTCGCCGCCGCCGCTGGTGCCGCCGCTGGCGCCACCGCCGCCACGGCTGGATGCTCTGGAGGTGGGGCAGAGGGGCTCCAGAGGCAGCTGAGCCGTGTGTCGCTGTGCGAGTCGGATGAGGAAGATTCCAAGCTTGCCGAGGGGTATTTGGGGCCTCTGGTACCGCTCAGGGATCACATCGAGCGCGACAAGGTATGTTTTCCTCCCATCCATGATCTCGAATGATTTTAGACTCCCCAAAATGTTTCATCCGTTATGGAAAAAGTTTCCTGTCAGAGCATTTTAAATCATTTTCCATGATCTTTAGCTTGTCGAGAGATGGATCTCTGTGATCAAACTTTCGTGGGTTTAGGGAAGAGTTAGTTCTTATCACTTGTCTCGAGAGTGAGTTGGGTCTGTACTGGAAACTATTTACTCTAAACAGTGGTGTTTGTTTTTGTCTAACACAGGATGATGAGAGCTTGCGACGCTGGAAGGAACAGCTCCTGGGTTCTCTCCGTGTTGAATCGTTCGATGGTAAGGTAAGCTCATGATCATGCAGCACATCAAAGCTGACGAGATTGTCGATGTTTTTTTTTTCTTCTGTTTCTTTGTTGCGAGGGATAGAGCGACTGGAGCCGGAGGTCAGGCTCAGTTCCCTCACAGTGATCGTAGAGGGGCGACCCGACGTGATTGTTCCATTGCCGCTGGTTCCAAATTCGCGGGGGAGCTCTTTCAGCTTGAAAGAAGGCACCAGCTACTGCCTCAAGTTTACATTCTCGGTTCACCACAACCTCGTCTCGGGCCTCGTCTACTCGAACACCGTCTGGAAGAATGGCCTGAGAGGTACGTCCTTGATTCTTTTTCGCTTTCCACTTTTAAGAACTTCAGCTCTGACTCAAACCTCCGTTCTGCAGTCGATCAAACGAGAAAAATGCTTGGAACTTTTGCTCCGCAGCAGGACCCGTACACACACACGATCGATGAGGAGACGACACCGAGCGGGATCCTTGCGAGGGGAAATTACTCGGCCAAGATGAAGGCAAGCTCAAATTTTCGTGTTCCAGAGATTGTTCTTACCTTTTTCATTTTTCCTTCGATGTGCGCTGCAGTTCCTCGACGATGACAAGCGATGCTACTTGGATTTGAGCTATTCGTTTGAGATTCGAAAAGAATGGGATTGAAATAAAGCTTAGGGTTTCTAAATGTCTGTGCCCTACTTAGGGTGAGACACGTAGGCGTGCGCCCTATCCCACATGCGAAGGCGTAGAATCGTGCCCGGGCTTGAGTATATAAGAGAGGGCTGGGACAAAAGAAGCTCATACCTTTCTCGGCCTTTTGGCTAAGATCAAGTGTAGTATCTGTTCTTATCAGTTTAATAGCTGATATGGGGCCACGTGCCCCAATGCTATTAACCTAATTTTTTGTGGGAGGGGGACCACCGGTAGCTTGCTACCCGGTCCTCCACGTGTCGCTTCGGCCTTACACTACCGCCTTAGCCTGGCACAACCCAACCCCCCAAATCTAAATCCAAGAAGCAATAGTATATTAGGAGTCTTAGTATAGGGTTTATCGAAGGCTAATGCTGTATAGTGGATATATTCTAGGGATATTCTAGTTGATACATTGTGATGCATCACATATTATGCATCTAAACTTTTTTGTTAAAATGTATCAACTTGTGAATCTTGCCCAAAATGATTTCACTGATTTCTTTGATGTACACCTCTTTTTGTTTGCCATGCAAAGGCATCAGCTCTTCACGATGGCCATAGTCTTTCATGATAGAAAAACGCCACCATCTAGAACGTAGCGTAAGTATTGTTGACTTGTTCTGAGTGGATAGCATAAAGCTCATAAGATCCTAAGGATAGGGTTTCTGTGTGCATGTTCCACCATCCAAGTTGTGTAAGTATTTTCTAGTGCCCAGGCTATCTACTTCAACCTATGATAGACCAAGAAATGCCATGTATATGCTACTTAACTTTTTTCAAACTAATTTAATAAAATAATAAAAATTAATTATTCATAAAAAGTCTGACAAGAAATCATATTTTTAATAATAATTTTTCCATCATACAAAAAATTGCAATTAAAAATAAAAATGTAACTTTCTGTCAGAAATAATTTGAGTATTTTTTTTATATAACTTTTTATTTAAAGTACTTCACTTATGTATTAAGAATAATCTGTTTTAAAATTTTAAGAATTTTATACTTAGTAACTAATAGTCATTTCTTATATTTATATTTATGTAAGCATTTTACTTATACATAAAATGGCATGTTATGGATGAATTTATAGTTAAATAAACAGATAATAGTAATACTATAATAGTTTTTAAAAATATTTTAACATAATTTTGTTTTTAGGGTTTTTACCAGGTAGATCCTATTTACCATAACAGTGGTGAAAGGAGTTGTGATTGTACACAAAGAAAGTTGAGTCTTTGCTATATGTAAAACCCTTTTGAATTGAAAACCAATTTAAGTGTGTTTTCCTTTTATAAAATAGATTGAACACGATTGTTTCATGGATCTTGTATGTAGTGCTATTCATATCTAGTATTATTTATTAATTAAATTGATAAATTGGAATTTTATAATTATAAACATTTTCATAATTTATAAACACAAGATATTTTATTTCATATCAACCATTAGATGGTAAATAAACTAAATATACTAAACTAAAAATATATTTATAAATTATATATACAAAATTAATCTAAATAAATAATAACCATTGGATGGTAAAATATCCAAGCATATTCTAGATATATCCACTACTGTTATATAGGTTTTCTTAAGAAAAATAACTATATTTATTATGCCATTTTAATGTTAAATCTGTACTATTTTAATATGGTGATTACAATTTGTGTTTTTTGTCCCATTTACAAATTTTTTTCTAAAGTTGGAGCTATGTGTCTGAAAATTATAAAGATATTGATCAACGTATGCTGTAATGCAATATTACAGACAACCACTAGGCTGCTCAAATGCCATCTTTATAACAAGCTTACTGCTACATTTTAGATTGACACCCATTTTGCTAAACAACTTTAATGCTTCTTATTGTGAGATATTGCAAAGTTCCTTGTTACACGCCATGATCTTTTTGTTTCTTCTCATTTTTCTATTTCTACTTTGTTTTATTTTTTTCACCACACCATTGTCTCACTACCATTGGCAGACAAATGCATAAAGGAACATGAACAAGCAAAATACCAACTTTCACTTCGACATATTGACATACACGCTCAGAATTTTTCATCCACGCCAAAGATACAAAGAGAAATCAATGCAGTAGACTATAGTCTAAGATTATAAAGTTCTCCAATACTACTACACTCAATTTCTAATACGTTGGTGCATTCGGCTTGAGAAAAGCCTCCTTAACGTAAAAGAGATCTAACGTATAATCAACAGGAGCTCCAGGTGGGGGAGCTCCTATTGCTCCTCCTCCCCCAGGAGGGACGAAAGTCGAAAAAACCTGAAGTGCTGGAAAGCGTAGGATGTACTGTGCAATTCCAGGTCCGGTCAACGGAACTCCATTCCTTCCAATGCCTGTGAGATTCGGGTCATTTTTCCAAGTCGCATTTGGTCCCAAGGGTCCTGTGCCAAAGGAGACTAAGCGTATGGGCATCGGCCCTGCTCCGCCAGGCGCACCTGGAACAGGCACGGCTGGAGCAGGCCCAGCCGGCCCTGGTCCTCCACCTCCTCCAGCCGCCCCTCCGACTCCTCCTCCAACTCCAGCTACTGGTGGTGGCGGTCGTTCATAAACTGTAGCGAGCATGGCCATGGTGCCATTGGCTCTCATATTGAAACGCTTGAGACCCACGTAAATAGCACATCGAGGGTAATTAGGTCCCAAGAAGATAGCTGCGCGCTCATGGAGATTCTTCGGCCTTTGTGATGTAGCGATCTCTACGACGATGGCTCCATACTCGTGCACTGCCGCCACCCCTGGTGGAAGAATACTACTCTCACCAATAACATTGACAACCACATCAGGCACATAGAGACTTCCTCCGAAATCTGGTCTATACCCAACAGTTGTAGCCACGGACAGCAATCCAGCTGCTTGTGCATCAAAAGCAGCTCCCACCTTCAGCTGAGCGTGGCCATGGGGTTTGTTCGGGAGCTCCCTTGCGATGATTTTGCCGCCGAGGAAGTCGCAGATAAACCGCTTATGCCCTGATTCCCACCTGGAAAAAAAAGCGAAAAAAGCAGACTTGCGTTAGGAGCGCCTGCCTATTTCTAGTTTCTCACCGGGAGAAAGCTTCTGCGTTGGGACAATCACCGATGATGAGCTCGCTCGGCGTAAGCTCCTGATCTTCCTCGTCCCCTGTGAACAAAGAGAATCGCAGCAGCTTCTGCTCGACAGCCCGAGCCGCGCGCTCATCGATCTTGACTCTGGCTCTCGATCGAGCAACAACATTCTCCGGTACTGCCTCACAAGCGGAAAAAAATCGCAGCCATGGAGAAGGAGGAAAGAAAAAAAGACTCACCCATCATCTAGCCTCCTCGCGCTTCTCTTTGCGCTGTTCCCACGCTTGAAGGTCGTTTTCTTCTCTCGCCCTAGGACAGGGAAAAACGATCGGACAACGTTATATCTATCACGACCAGGCCCTTGAATGTGAAACGCGATCGAGATATAATGCACCTAGTTTTGGGTCTGGGTGAAAAGAAAAAACGTTCGACTAGCTTGGACAGCACGCTCCTCCACAGCGACATACAACTTCCCAGACTCCGAGAAAGTATTACCAAAGTCATCTTGACCGCTAGGAATTTTGCGATTCCTCCCAGTGATGTAGAGTCAGCACCACTTCTATAGAGAAATTGTTTCCGAGATGATATTCGGCCACAGCACCACCCGCTTGAGCGAGTCTACCACCACCTTTCGTGTGCTCGAGTTTTGCTATCCCCGGGCCACCACCACGACCTTGCTCGTCAGATGTGGTCGGACATAAAGAGCACAAGCTTCCAGCTGTGGCGGCCTTGCATGACAAACTTGATGGGCTTTGGGCAGAGCTCCAGAAACTTTTCCATGACCTTGAGCCGGTGCCGCTATGTCCATCGCCAGCGTGTGGAGCTTGCTCAAGACAACGCCCCGGGAGTAATCTCGTCACTGTCCGGTGCCATGACTGGCAAGCACTTGATCTTGAGTGATTCAAGGTCGATGTGCCCCAAGACTCGGAAGTTCACGGGACGAGATCCAACTCTCGCAGCGAGCTTGCCGTGTTAATCCAGGCGGAGTCTGTCAGCTTGGAAGCTTGCAAGGCCTTGTGGACGCTGTGGAGCTTGAGAGTGTGGACCTCTTGGAGACGAGATAATGCAGTCGCAGTGCAAGAGCTGTCTCTTGTGCTTCCTGCAGAGGTTCGCTTCTAGCCAGAAGATGTTAAGTTGTTGAAAGCAGCGCCTCGAAGTATTGCTCCTCCACGGCTTACAAACTTGACAATGCCAGCAAGTTCCGCTTGAAGGCTCAGCTCGAAGATCTTGTGGAAAATGTCAAGTGGCAAATCCGACCAACCGTTTCCCATCCTGAGATCGAAGAAATGGTAATGGTGGTGCTTTGTTCGAAGAAAAAGAGAGAGCCTACCATCCAGACAAATGGTTTTCCAGGCCTTAAGTGGAGCTCTTAAGTTCTTGTTGACTTCGTTCTATGCAATACTTCCAGTTTCTTCAAAATGTAAAGGCAAAGATCTTCACATGTCAGCTGCTAATTCGCTTTTGTCGTTGTGTTATGCCTGGATCTCAATAACTTCCAATTTCCTGATTAAAATTTGTGAGTCCCGGAAATGACAACTCTATCTTAGAGAATTCCCTTTCGATTTTCATAACCCATTTGCAAATTTAGCTTGTTTGTAAGGATCTTTCCTTTTAGGTCAGGGAAGGACGATGGATCTTAGCGACTGGGAAGACGTTCCCAGCAACGGCGGCGGCGACTACGACGCCCCGATTCGCAGCGATCGCATAGCTTTCTCCAATTACAAGGCTCCCAAGAGCGACACCGAGGTAATCTCTCCTCGCGATTCTAGCAGCACCACGCTTGTGCTGGTGGGCAAAACCGGCAGTGGCAAGAGCGCCACAGGGAATTCCATCCTCGGCGGCAAGAGATTCAACTCCAGGATGTCCCTTGGCTCCGTGACGCGCGTGTGCGAGCTTGGGCAGATCACACGGCCCGATGGACGACGCATTCGCGTCATCGACACTCCAGGTACCTGCGATTTGCTTGCAGTTTCTTTTTGCTAGAGATTCTCCTTTCCAGGGATGTTTGACACCGCCCTCGATTCCAAGTCGATCGCGAGAGAGATTGGCAAGTGTATGGATTTGGCTGGCGATGGGCTTCACGGAATCCTCCTCGTGCTCTCGGCCAAGTCGAAGTTCACGGAGGAGGAATTCGCTGCCGTGGATGCGTTTGAGAAGATGTTTGGATCCGGGGTCTTGAACTACGTCGTCGTCGTCTTTACCAATGGTGACGCGCTCGAAGACGATGGCGATGGAACGTCACTGGAGGAGTCTTATCTCAGAATGGCACTCCTGGAGCTCTCAAGGTACTCACCTTTGCAGCAATGTTCTTCAAAGTGTTCTTCTTTTGTTTCCAGGATCTTCTCCACCGGTGTGGCGATCGAAAGATTTTGTTTGACAACAAATCCAAGGACAAGAGAAAGCTGGAGGCGCAGCGGAGAGATCTTCTCGAGATTGTTGACAAGATGATCACTGCCAACAGCCGCATACCTTACACCACCGAGATCTTCGAGCTGGCCAAGGTAAGAGTTCGCGTATCTCGCATTCTCCCAAATTTCCAATGGATTGATTCCAGGCTCAAGAAGAAGCACGAGAGAAGAAAGAGAGCATGGAGAATCGACTCTCTCAGCTGGAGCAAAATTTCCCCCAAAAGGTTCTCTTTTATATCTTCAAATTTTCTTCTCACTGCGCGCTAAGAGAACTCTCGCTTCACTGGCAGATCAATGAACTGCGGGAGAGCTACGAGAAGGACAAGGCCGAGCAAGAGGAGGAGCTGGCCAAATTGCGGGAGCTCGCGGAGGAATCCAAGCGCAGCGCGATAGCGGCCGAGGCCAAAATGGAGGAGCAGTGCAAGCGCGCCGAGGAGCAGCGCAGGCACGCCGAGTCGGAGCGCGCGCGATTCGAGCAGGAGCGCATCAAGCTCGAGGAGGAGCGCAAGCGATTCGAGAAGGAATTCAAGCGCAGGGAGAAGGAATTCGAGGAAAAGATGAAGAACTCGCGCTGCACAATACTGTAAATAAAGGAGGCTTTTTTAGGGCTTATGGCATTTTAGGGTTCTTGAGCTCTACATTTTTAGGGTTTATAGCTGGACGATGACTGCTGCTTTGGTGAGGCACGAGGAGGAATCCACGTCCTGCCCCATTCTCTGCTTGGAGGCGCGATCCCAGCTCGCGCGCTTGCGCCGCGAGCCCGCGAACTGGCACACTGTCACGAAATCCAGCACCTGCCCGAAGATCTTAAACATCTCCACACCGAAGATCCTGTCGCCATGGCCGATGAACACCGCGTTCCAGTCGAGCGGCGCGTCCGGGTGCTGCGACACCTCGCTCCACCGCCAGGAGGATGATCGATCCTGCTCCAATCGCCAGATCTTCCTCGCGGCCTTGGGCTGCTGCTGCTCGAACCCATTGATCTGGTGCTGCGATCTCGATGCCCAGACGACGCCCACGAGAAGGATCCGGCCCTTGCACACCACCAGCTTGGGGAGATAGTCCTGGATTCGCGAGGGAATGCCCGAGGCCGAGATGGCGATCTCGTGCCAGGAGTTTCGCTCGAGATCCAGCGCCGCGAGCTTGTCACTGTCCGAGTAGCAGTAAAGCACGCCTTTGGACACCACCCCCGTACACAGTGATCCAAGATCCGTACACGGCCACGCCGCGATCTCCCTCCACGAGCTGGACGATGGGTCGTACACCTCGCCGCTGGAAAGCGTCTGGTTTCGCTCGTCCTCCCCGCCAATGACGATCAATCCAAAAGCGCTGCTGCTGCCACTGCCGCTGCCGCTACTGCCAGATGGTTTCGAGGATGACGACGATGATCCCAAGCTCGTCGTCAGCTCCCGGAAGCTATAACTTCGCTGCCAGCGTCGCGCAGAGATCTGATCCATGAATGACGAGCCACCACCTGGTCCTGTCGATGATGATCCCCGGAAGACACCAATCTCTGCCGATCGCTTCCTGGCAATCCTCCTGTGATTGGTGGTGGTGGTGGTGGTGGTGGTGGTCTTCTTCTCTGGAGCTGCGAAGAGCTTGAGCTTGATTCCCTGCGTCATCTCGAAAACTCCCACCACGGGAGTGGTCCTCGCGCTCTTCATTCCAATCCCGGCCTTGCTCCACTGCCCGGTGAAAGCATCCAGCACGAGAACGCTCCTGTGAGTCTTGAGGAATCCTCCTTTCTCCCTGTCGCTGCTGGCCCGCGCCGAGCAGCCCCCGACCACGAAGAGCTTGGATCCACTGGACGCCACCGAGTAGAGCAAACGCCCCGCCAGTGCGTCGGCTCGGATGGAGCGCCACCGATCGAGAGTGGGATCCAAGGCTTGAATCTGGCCCAGGCTCACTCCATCTCTCGACAGCCCAAGCACGAAGAGCCATGGCCGGGGGGAGCCCATCCTGTCCCGGAGCTGCAAGAAATGCGAGGAGCGCGTCAAGGAACTCCACTTCTTGCACACCGCGCGAGCTCGGACCAGGGAATCGAATGGAAGCCTCGCCAAGCACATCTCGAGAACGTCGTCCGGGAGCACGATGGAATGCTGCTGCTGGTGGCCATCATCCTGTCCAAACATCGATGAATCCGGCAGCTCTTCCGGAGGGATCGTTGACCCAAAGCATCCCCGGCACAGATTTCTAGCGCTGCCGCTTGGATCTAATGAAGAAGCGAGTAGCTTCTCGCGGCGGCTGCTCCTCATCCTGCTAAAGCATCTGGATGTGGGTTCCTCTGGGAGCTCGGCCTCTTCCTCTTCCTGTTCTTGGAGCGTTCTTCCTGGAAATCTCTCTCCCGGCGAGAAGTTGAGGAAGAAACCTGGCCTCGACTTGCCCGTGTGATGATCAATTATTGCCTGTTCTTGGTGGATGATCCTGGCAGCCCCGGGGCGATCATCATCGAAGTCTCGCCCGAAAAACAGCCTGCCGCTACCGTGATTGACACTGGGAACGATCTCGCCGCTGATGAGACGTCTCAACCTCTGGCTGACCGTTCTAAGCAGCTTATGCGGGCCAGCAGCATCGCCCGCACGATGATGATGCGCTGACGAGCTCCGACGCAAGCCGATGCTGCCCCCGCGCCGCGATTCATGCCCCGCCATCGCTGGGAGACGATGGATTCCTCGAAATCCTGGATATTCTGGAATTCCTTCATGCGGCCTCGAAATATACCACTATCGTGCCCTCGACAGGGTGGAAATCGCGACGATCTAAGAACTTCCCACCTGTGACGATAGAGACTGGGCGACGCGCCTTCCATAATCTCCGCCAACGGCGCCTTTGCTCGCCATCGCCATCGCCATTCTTTCTTCTTCACAGCCTTGGGAGAGAGAGGAGCAATGAAACAGCGGTTAAGGGGGAAATAATGCGTGACGTGGCGATATCGCCGCCATCGGATGTCCGCGGAATAGGCAACGGAAAATGACCGTCACGTTAAAGAAAAACCGTCATCGGTTTCTTACCCCTGGAAGAATATTCTCCTGTAAGAACTAAAATCAAATTGATAACCCTATTTATAATTGTAATACGTATATATATATATATATATATATATATATATAGTCCAAAAATTAAATTAAATATTGAAAACAACTTATTAATATAATATTTAAATTAAATTAATATATATGTTTAATTATTTTTTATCTTTTTCAATTTTTTAAGAATGAAGGTTATAACTAAAGAATGATATTTATAGTTTAATTTAAATAATGCTTGAGAATTGAGTTTATATAAGGAAAGATAAACATTTTAATTAAAATTTTAGCATTAATATTTATTAATAATAAAATTAGTCGATAAGATTATTTATGAAATCATGAAATCCATAATCTTAACTATAATTTTGTATGAGCATAACTATATAAATATTAATTTTTTAACAGTTTTAAAAATTAAATTAAATTTTAAAGAGAAAATGTGTGTAAGTTAACAAAATAGTAAAAATTAAATAGTAATAATGTTAATTAATAATAAAAATTTTAAAATGTAAATAATTATTTTTATGATTAATAACTTTTGAAAGACACAATGTGATTCATCATAACTTACACACTTAAATTACATATTTTAAATTATATATAATTCAAAGTAAAATAATTCATTTAAATATAATATAATCACATTATACTAAGAAAATTACTATCATGATTATGCTTTTGGAAGAATCCTAATTATTAAGGCATTTGTGATTTTATAGGCTATATAGCTTTATTTGTATATGTTATAACATGTGAAATTTTAGCCAAATATAAAAAAAGTCTTTTCAACTTATATAAATTTAAAAGTTTTTTTGTAAGTTACTAAATCAAAATAGAGTTTGTTATATAATATTTTTTAGTATATGGAAGATTATTGCATAGTGATTAAGAATTTACTAAATGATGGTTTTATGCATAAGGTAATTCAAAAACAATAAAAGCAATTTATTTAAAATATTAAAAATAATTTACCTTTTTTTGTGATTCAATTTTGCCATCACATTTCAAACCAAATTATATACCACATATTAAAAATAATAAAGATGAAACTATTAAACATCTATATTTATTTAATATACTAAATTTTTAATTAAATTAAACATCACAATTGATCCAATGTTTAATATTTCTTGTTTTTACTATTAAATACAGTTTAAATATGAGCCCTAAAGTTAATGAAATTTAAAGTTAATTCTCCAGAGTAGCCATTTAAAATAAATCTTTGGATTAAAAAAAAACCCAAGTATATCCAAAAATTAAATATTTTAATTTATATATCTACTATAATATATAAAATTAAATAATATAAAGGTATAAATACCTATATATTAAGAGATCAAAGTACCCTAATACTAATTTTTATGATTTGAGCACCTTACAAAATGCACCATTTACATAAATCATAATATTAAAAGCAAAACACTTACATTTTTTCTTTGATGAGTAGTGGATATACCTAGAATATGCTTAAATATTCTTGCTATCTAACAGTTATTATTCATTTAAATTATTCTTGTATTTATAAATTATAAACGCTTTTATTATTATAAACTTCCCGCAGCAAATTATTACCGTGGTAATCCAAAATGAAAATTTTATAACACCTTCTGCATATACTCAGAATTAATCGAAATAATTCCATGCAAACCTTTTAAGTATTAAGGTTTTTCATAGCTGCATTGGTTGAAGGATCTAGAAAAGAGGGAGACAATCGTCTCATTCTCTTGCTCTCGTCGTTACTAGCTCACCTAAGAGGTGATTTGCAATGTCAAAGAAAGCAAGAGTTTTCTTTGTCTTTGAAGTGGCGCCTTCTAGATGTGCTTCAATCTCCTGGCTCGTTTGATCAATTTTCGCAGGTCGATGCGCTTAGCAGCTGCTGCTATCTGGAAGAAATGTGATTGTAGATACACCTCCTATGCCAAATATGGAAGGATATTTCCTCCCCGTTCATGGCACAGCATATTTCGAGATTTTGTTGTATAGAAGCGAAAATCAATGTTCATCTAGAACCTGATAACACGACCCGGAGGCAGCCCAGCAGACAAGTAAAGAAAGTGCACATCTGGTGAATCTCTACTCCGTCAAGAATTCTGTGGAGCACATTGAGAACTACATGCTCGACAATGAAGTTGGACTATGGAATTCTTACAACCTACAAAAGGACGTAGAGAGGGAAAGTGGAAGTTTCAAAGTGCATCATTTGTGGGAGTTGTATCGTTTCGAATATCAAACCGAGGTGGCGAGCTCGCTCGGAACGAAGCGTCTCCTAAGCCGTTTGCCAGTCCTTTTGCTCCACTTGACTCTGGAGTATACGCACCTGTGTCCAATACAAACATGTCAAAAGCTTTGAAAATAAACCTCCCAGCTTGTACCATTTGCTGCAGCCTCTCCGCCTCTTCATTGAGATCACGGACGTACCGAAACAGCTCTGGCGCAACATTTTAAACCTTTAGAACGCTCAGGAGATTCGTTGTGAGATTACAAACCTTGATAACCGCGTTTCAATTCAGAGCTCAACGACTTTTGAACAGCCAGCCTTGTTTCCAGATCATGTATCTGTAACGTTCTGCTTGAAACAAGTCCAAGATACCGGAAAGATACGAACCTTGCCCTCCGAAGCCTCCCTCCCTATTTCTTCGTTTTCCTCTTGCAGCGTACGACACTTTGCCATGAGCATTTTGCCGTTTTTACTGTGCGGAGTGAACTGGACAGCGGCGAGATCGTCAGTCAGATCTTTGGCCTTCTTTTCCGCAATTTCCAGCTCCTTCTAGACTTTGGAAGTCACAACCTCAGACAGTGTTACCATTGTCTGGAAAAGACTGACCTTCATACGTGTAAATTCTACATGAATAGCAGGATCCAGCAAAAGACGACGAGACTGCGACCAAACAAAGTTGTAAGATCGCTAGCTAGCCTGGAAAATACACGAGTACCTGAAGCGTTGGAGGCCTCAACGAAAGCTTCAAATCGTGAACGAGAGTCTAAAGTGCCATTACGTTTATAACAAAAAAGTAAACAGAAAAGAAACATTGAAGAGAGACTTGCCTTCATCTCTGCAATTTCTTGTTCCTTGTTTGACAAATGGATCAGCATGGCAGTTTCCTTGCGCCTGGATGATGCGAGCTGTGAAACGACAAAGAAGACTCGATCAGAAACAAAAAGAACAAGGAAAATGCACAACTCAAAACGCCAAACTTGCGAACCTGGTCTTTCACGCGAGCTTGGGATGCTTGGAGAGATTTTATATGATCCAAGATCAGCCGAGGATCTAACAACAACATACATATCAGAACAGTAAGCAAACACAAGGTAAGTTGATAGACCTGAAGTTGAGTTTTCTGGTAGAATTGACTCTCCACTTTGAAACAAATTCCTCCATTTGTCTAGCTCTCCATTGGCAGTGGCAAGGTCAGCCTGCCAAAAACCAAAGGAAGCTCAGCGATGAACTGTATCAAAGAGCTTGTGCTGTTTTGCAATATACCTTTAGTGATGCAATGGTCCCATCACGCTCTTCTAAACTACATGAGAAAGAAGCGCAAGTTTGGAAGTTATACTTGATAGAAAGATTACCTGGCGCGAAGATTGAGTATGGTAGTAGTCGCGTGATCACTTCCCGCGGCCACTGCCGATCCATAAATCTACACGCAAGATACACGATTCCTTTCGTGAGCTTTTCCTTCACATTTGCAAGTTTCTTAACCAGAGGAGAGAGAAAGAAAACGCAGTACCTTCTTTGAGGGAAAAAGATCGTCATCGTCCTCGAGCTCGCCAAAACCCCTCTTTCCTGTTCGAAACAAGCCTCAGCCTCAGCCGAGAGAGAGAGAGAGAGAGAGAATGTGCCTAGAAATGCGAAGATCAAACCTGCTCTGATGCCGACATCGCCGACTACGTCTCCACCGAAATCAAATTCATCCTAGGATTGAGCAGCTAGATCAACCGAGCAGTGGAGACAGCAGCGGCACTGACCTCGTCGAAGGGTGTGGACGCCATAGCCAAGCATGGAAAACCCTAAAATGGATTTATTTCGAAATCGGGATTTCTCAGCAGCTACGCGCTCACCAACTGCGCCTTTGCATACCATCATTTTCAGCAATGGAAGTGAATAACACATGAACAAAGCTCAAGATCATCCCGGTGGAGTAAATCAAATCATCAATCTCGGCTCACCACTGTAGAACTACAGAGAGCTCTCGAGCGATACGTGCTCAAAGTTCTGCCGGCCTTTTTCCTGATAGATCAACTGAAACTAGGATCAGATTAGATGCGGCAAGCGGTCCCTTACATTCTAAATGACTGCTCACTTGCACTCTGATGCCTCTCTCCACTTTTCTGCGTATAATGTAGGCTGGAAGGCGTGAGAGTTGTCCAGCTCTTTCTCGTTTATGACACAGTTCCCTTGCCTTCTTTCTGTTCTTCCTCGGAAAATTACTCACTCAAAGTTTAGTTTCGCTTCGAACTGGATTCACTTCACAAATTGATTATGTTACTCTTTTTAGATCAATGGAGCATTCCGAATTTGGAATGTTTCTTTCCTGCACTGATTGAATACAGCTGCTTGTACTCTGACAATGTTCTCGCAGCAATCCTTAAGTTTTTTTTAGCCATGAATTTCTTACGTTCTTTGTAAAAGCGTCAACCTTCTCGATCAATCCCGACCACAATGGCAACTCCACGAGCGTCATCTTCTTTGTGCAGCCGCCCCCCATTCGTTCTCCCTAGAGGTTTCAAACCATTTCCGACCATAAAATAAAACCATAGTGGATATTTAATCTAAACTCCCTTTACACACTCAAGCCCATTTCCTCCTTTAAGCTTGTAAAATAAGGAAATATTTTAGGTTTTCACTATTTC